AGACTCTAGATATAGATAGATATAAATTAATATTATCGTGTATGTACTTTAGATTCCAACTACATACACGCCAATTTTAATTTGAACCCTAAATATATATGTAGGAGAGTCTGGAACAGGTTTGCAGATACATAGAAGACAATAGCAACAACCTAAGATGCTCCTCATGCTTTTTACCCTAGAACTCATATGTTCATTATGGCTCTAATAACTTCTCTGTAATTTTAATGCTTCGCACAGAAGTGTCTGTGTAAGACATCACATTAATGGCGGGCGTTAGTCATAACATAAGCACAATTTGTTTTATCACACTTATTACATTGGAGAGATATTTTATGGACTGGTAGAATAAACTTTATAAGCATAATTTTACAACCAATCTATAGACGATACGATTGACCGTCATCGTTGGGTACTGAGAGAAAAGTACACCGAAGGAACTTGGTAGAAAGGAAAATAGTTGAAGAAACTATCGCTAGTATTGTTTTAAGCCCTCTCTTGATGCGGAGTGCACTCTTATCACCCACCCTTACTCTAACACATTTGGTAGATAGATATAAATCTCTCATAATAAACTACTCGTAGTTACGTAGTAAACTGCTATTATTCTGGACCTCCTAGCCGACGATGGGAATAATATCAATTCGCTTATGTTCACAACGTTTCAAACCTAGCATGGTCCTTCATGGTCGTGGTGGCCCGGAGGTTCAGGAGCCTGCTTCTCGAGCGTGGGTTCGAAACCTTTAACTGTACTTTCTAAGATTATTTAGACACCACTGACATACGGTGAAGGCAAACATCGTGAGGAAACCTGGACTTATAATTTCTAATTATAAGTTTGAAATCGCCGATCGGCCTTGAGCAAGCGTGGTGATTAATGCTCAAACCTTTTCCGTGTGAGAAGAGGCCTTTGCTCGGCAGTGGGCACTTATAGGCTGATGATGATGATGGTCCTTCTTGGCTGGCTTCTCAACATAGATTTGTATTTTAGCTTTTAATTTTCTGCGGACGGCGAGTAAGGGTAGCTCGCCGCCCGACCAGAACTGGACCCGAGCGTACGGCGCGTAGCGTTCCGCGCGCGCCTCAAAGAGCCAATAGACCACCACAGTCGGGGCCCTAAAGGGCTGATGTTTAGCCGGGGCTGCGGGGTAAGTGCAATGAGGCACCGCGACCTCGGCCCAGAGCAGGAGAAGGAACGGGGGGGTTTTTAGTCAGTAAGAGTCTGACACTCTCTCTCGCCTTACCCTGGGCGGGAGAAGTCATTGGATGATTTTCCCCTGACAAAAAAAAAAAAAAAAAAGCTTTTAATTTTAATTAGCTGTTCTAGCTCTCGCAATCGTTCCTTAAGAACAAATAAAGGCTAAGATCTATTCAAAAGTCTTCCAGTCGACTGCAGAAAGCGTCCGTTGTTCGTGTTGTTTTGTGTTAATGTAAAATGTGGGGCAGAGCAATCATTTCATTAAACTATTTTTGACGTACCTTACTATTACAACTGGCTGTTAAAGATTTAAGTGGAACTGTATTGAGATGTCTGTCTTTATGGTACGAAGCGTACATACTGGTTTTATTTTGTCTTACTAAAGCAAAAATTATATTATTTATATTAATTAAAAAATAATAAAACCCCCGACAAAAAATCAAATATTCCTTTAAAAGGTAATAATAATAAAAAACCGAGCGATCCGAACATTTTATTTTCTACTAATTCATTTTTTCAAAGGGGTCTAATTTAATTTTTTATTTTATACTTTTTATGGGTATTTTATATCATTTTCTCTCTATTAAGTCATCAACATTCCCTTTCATTTGAGACCCCACTCGAGTATATTTGCAGACCTTCGGTTACCCTTCCCCACTTGCCCCCCCCATAACTTCTAAACGGCTCAACCGATTTTCATCAAACATGTCTAAGAACATTCGCACGTAAGTCACCTTAATACAAAAAAAAAGTAAATTGAAATCGCTTCACCCGTTCAGGCTCCAGGATGCCACAGACAGCCAGACAGACAAAAAGACACGTCAAACTTATAACACCCCTCTTTTTGCGTCGGGGGTTAAAAACAATTAGATTTGTTTTAGAATGTTAATAAGAAAGAAGTAAGACAATAATCCACAAGAGACCGGCAACGCACTGGTAATAACTCCTTTGGTATTACGAGTGTCTATGGGCGGTGCTGATTGCTTACCACCAGGTAATCCGTCTGCTCGTTTGCCGATCTATAATATAATAAAGGCTATTTTTTTTATGTGATAGATCTCAATACAGTTCCACTTAAATCTTTAACAGCCAGAAGTAATAATAATGCAACAACAGAGGAGTTAGGGATTGGGAGGGATCGGGGGAAGGGAAGAATTGGGCCTCCGGTAACATCAGGACAACCTGAGGTTACAGGAAGCCTAATCATTCCCTTTCCCAAAACCCTCCCCAATCCCTAAATCTCCCAAATCCCTTATCCCTAAAAGGTCGGCAACGCACATATTCCATAAAAAAACCTCACTCACACGGCGAAACACAACGTTGTAATTGTTTCAACCCGGTTTTCTGTAAGACCGTGGTACCACTCCGGTCGAGCCGGCCCATTCATGCCGGAGCATGGCTCTCCCACACTTCAAAACTTTATTGTTTTGTTTAACTTATTTTGAGTATTATTGTTACTTGGTACTATTTACTTTGAAACGTGTCTTATAGCTATGTTTAACTGTGTCTATACCTAGGAGTTAAAATAAAAACAGTACATAATGTCATCATTATAATTTAAGAGAGCGCATGTCGCCATTAGTCTAGCTTGGCTTTTAGATAAAAGGTCACACCCCATGTTAAATTATAAATGCGAAAGTAACCCTGTCTGTCTGTCTTTTCTTCACGCCTAGACTACTGAACGGATTTGTGTGAAATGTGGTAAAGATATAGTTTGGAACTGGAGAAGGGACATAGGATAGTTTTTAAACCAAAAATCTGCAGGAAGTCACTTTTACACGCGATTGAAGTCGCGGACAAAAGCTATAAAATATATATTTTTAAAAAGTGATTGACTGAGTGATTTGCCCAACCCTTTAAAGAATTAAGAGTGCAACGTTCTTATAAGCTCTTTCAATTACAAATGCGCGTTTATTACTTTTCTATTCAAAGAAGTAATAAGCAAACCTTCCATTAAAATACTAGCATTTTATATAATTTCACTTCGCTTTGAAAGTCAAAGGTTTTTATATTATTCCGTTTACAAGCTTTCATCTTCAAGTAAATATGAACCGTGAATGTACCTATTTACTTTTTTATTCAAAGAGTGAATAAAAACACCTTAGTTAGTCAAATGGTGAATCAAAATCAGATGAATTATGAGTGCATTACCGACCTTTTGGGGATTACGAATTTAGAGATTTAGAGATTGGGGTAGGGGAAGGATTGGGCTTCCAGTAACCTCACTCACACGGCGAAATACAACACCGTGGTTGTTTCACGCCGGTTTTCTGTGAGGCCGTGGCATCACTCCGGTTGAGCCGACCCATTCGTGCCGAAGCTTGGCTCTTTTACACTTAAAGGGTGTTCTCTAACGTTGTTTTAGCAACATTTTACTGGTCCCAGCAATACTGAGAAACGGTAAATAAGTAAAGAGCTTCGATATAACCGGATATTGATTTTCCTTGAACACCAATCCCTTTGGTAAAGCACTCTTTACGTTCTGGGAAAGGGTCTTGAGGTGTATTATGGGATTATTGGGTTTTTTAGAACCGGGTCAGGGATCAAATTCTGTTAGTAGGTGCATTATTGATATAAGCCATTTGGCCCTCTGGGACCAACTTTAAGTTGTTAGGTCAAGAATTGAGTGGGTGAGAAATGTTATTGTAGAAGCTTTTTTTTTAAATGTTGCCCCACGCTTGTATTTTCTCCTGCGTTGTGTGTGTTTTTTTTGGTAATTTGAAAAGCATCAAATTACTTGTCATGTGTTGTTAATCACCCGCCCAGGCCTGGGCGGGAGAAGTCATTCATGGAGTTTCAAACATAAAATTTCACATACACATGACACCCAGACCCGGAACACAACAATTTGTGGAATCGACCCCGCGACACATTGCACGGCAGCCGGTTGCCCAGCCACCGCACCAACCGTGCAGTCGTTTTTGAGGTGGAAACCATTCATCAAAAGACCTTATTACACTTGCCCCGCGACCAGGTTGAACGTTGGCCTTATTAAGCCTCATCTGTGGTGGCCTATCGTTCTTTGAAGCAAAACCTAGGTTAGAGAACAATGCAGTTACAGGGTTATTTTTCTTAGCAGTTTGTTCCTTATTATAAGAAAAACTTACTACAGTATATGTCTACATACCTACTAAATTATAGTACCTAAATATTTTTGCTAAAATGTGCCACTATAGAAGATTTGTATAAACTTCTTTTTAAAATATCACTTTAATTATAACGTCTAAATGGTACTATTGTATCAAACAGTCTCCAACTCATGATTAAGTGAACAACATCCGATGAGAGAGTTGCGCTGCTCAAGACAGCTGGTAATTCGGAAACGGCACGTAAATAGCTACACTTCGGCATACATGGACCGGCTCGACTAAAGTTTTCCCTTACACAGAAAACCGGCGTGAAACAACGCCTACACGCTTACATTACCCCAAATGTTCCCTCTTCCTATGTGCAGCGCTCATTGTTTACCATCAAGTGATAATACCTGTTGTTGTTTTTAAATTGATATCTATTATTATAATGCCATTTACGCCTACGTTTCACCAAAAATTCGAATGAATACTTACACTTACTTACACTGCCACCTATGTATGTATCAAAGCACTGTGTACTTTTAGATCAGCTATCTTTGATTGATTAATCGACAGCTTCATAAAACGTGAGCCAGATGGAGCCAAATGTCTAATAAACTGGTACGGTGTAGTTCTACTAGATGGCGCTAGTGGTATGTCAGAGATCGATCTAGGTGTCTCAAGAAATACGCAACACTGAACAAGAATGTGCATCAAATAATGGGCAAGCAATATAATATCACTGTTTAATAACAAAACATTCGGATTTATTGATAAAAAATTGTTTTTTTGTCTCTGTCTAACACGTTTGTTTCCGTAATTGACCTTCTCTGTCTCACACGAAAGACTGGTTACGTTGAAGTAGGGCGCTTGCCGCGTCCGGACCGAGTCGAGATCTCGGAGAGTGGTGATACGCACCTCGCGGGAAACATGCTCGTATGACAAATTGCCGCCAAAATTCATATTTAATTTTCGAACTTTTTATTTTCGACTATTTTATTTTTACGAACGATTGTGCTTTGTGTTATAGTGAATATTGAAAAATTATTTATTGTTCTCATTGTGATTTCTTGATTTGTGAATTACAATAAGAAGAAATGGCCCGAGGAAAGAGTCAAACGTATGTATTTTTATTTTATTAATTGATTGATTTAAAATCGACACAAAACATTGTAATGATGAAGCTAATATTGTATTACTAACGCAAATGAACCTAACATTCTTTTTATTATAATCTTGTGAAGTTCGAAAAAAATTTGGACTTTATAGAAAAAGTACTTACTTAAAAAAAATATATTTTTAAAAAAAGGCTATAGCTGCAGGGCTAGGCAGGACTTACATAAAACTTATAATGACTTATATAAAACTTATAATTGTTGTTGTTACTAAGAATTTTCTGCGATTGTTTCAACCGTAGATCTTTATTTAGGTTTCTCAATTGTTTAAATTGGTTGGTACATGCGCGTGAATGATAAGCGTGTCTCGTTTGGGACTAAAGTAGGTACATAGGTACTTACAATAAGATAGATATATCACATTAATTAGTTTAATAGGTTTGATTTTGCAAAACAATTAAGTCGTTTGAGCATTCTTCCAAGGTACTTTAGTAATGTACCTAGATAATTAGATATTATTTTCAAGGTTAAGTGCCACTTTTCCTTGATAGCCACAACGATGGCTATTTAAGTACCTACTAGTTGTGTAGGTATAAATTCGATATATTTTAAACAAAGAAATATCTATTTTTTATACCTAATATCAAAGAACAAAGTATGTAAGTAATTCGTAATTGGAATTTGAAAAAATTACGGAGTGAAAGTTTTTCTGAAACTATAAATTTCTAAAAGCAACAGGATAATCACTAGGGTGACCACACGTTCGATGTGAACGGTAATAGTAGGTACGGGAAGTCCACAATTACACCATTTATTTACTAGTCACTCGTCCAAGTACGGCTGCTGTTAATGTGACCATGTTTTTTATCGATACGAGGATGACACGAAGCGTCTTCACAGTACGCGGTAACGGTTTTTAAGTCAGATCGTGTCTGCCATCGATTTTATTGCCCGCTTAATGTTCTTACGGGACTTCGGTCAATTAATAGTAAAGACGTCTCTAAAATGGTCAGCGTATAAACATTTGATAAAATCCAAACTAATATTATAAATGCGAAAGTAACTCTGTATGTTTTCTTCACGCCAAAACTACTAAACCGATTTCTGTAAAATTTAGTACAGACATAGTTTGGAACTCGAGAAAGGACATAGGATAGTTTTGATACCAAAAATCTGCAGGAAGTTACTATTCCACGTGAACGGAGTCGCAAGCAAAAGCTAGTTTAGGAATAAAATCATATTTGATTATTACTTCTGAGTACAAAACCCACATAGCGACAGACTGTGGCCACAGATACGGGTGTGTTGTCCAAGTGTTATCTTATTAGATTCAATAATTCGTCGAGTGGGTCGCATGGAAGGGAGCCAGGACCCGAGCTCAGGAAATGGAATGAAATTGACGCTGTTTATTGTAGGCAGGACATACGAGACCGTGAGATGGAACGTACATCAGTCTGTCGTGTAGGCAGTAGGGACACGCTTGATGTAATACAATATGTTCCGTTTATATGCATTTCTAGCTTTAATACATAGTTCAAAGTTTTATCGTCCGTGTAGAAGTTAGTTAGAATTAAGTATAGAAATTTTATATCGGTATTTATATCTAAAACTACCTATCGATTTGTTAGTTGCCAATTGATAAAGTTGATCTTAAATTTATACCTTTCTTTATATGTAACTAACAGCCCGCTCCTGCTTCGCACGGGTTCTTAAATTATCTTCCAGTAAAACCTTCTCCTGGCTATAATGAACCCAACAAAATAAGACTTAACAAAATTGGTCCAGGCGTTTTTGAGTTATGCGCTAACCAAAACATTTTGATTTTCATTTTTATATTACAAATATGTAATAACCTTCAAGAAATGTTCCTTAAAGTGCGTAACAATGCGGTCGTGACGTGTATTTCTTCATACTTAGAATAATATTAATGCAAACACTGTCTTTACCGTCAAATATTTGGTTATGCCGCCTATAATTAGTCGCGGTTGATAGATAACGTAACAACATATTATACAATTGCTAGGCCTGTTATCTAGCAAGTATTTTTGAAGAGTTACAACTGGAGTTTACTAAATAAATTAATTCATTTCGAAGGTAAATAGGACGTTAGAACTAAGATATCCATTCAGTAAAAACTGGTTTGTGTAACACTTAGTTACATTATCTTATGTATAAAATTTCCTGTTCCATAATTCCAAGTAACCTTTCAAGCGAACATTTCTAGTAAATATTAACACATAATTGCATCGGTCGACAAATTGACCCTGAGCGTTATTGAAACAAAAAAAAAACGTAAAAGGTATTGCATGTACTGTAATTACTATCGTGCAGTGATTTGGCTAATCGAAATGCAAGCGTTATTACATACAAATAACTTACCTATCAATATTGTTGTAAAATAAAATTATATTATATGATGAAATATTTCGATTTAGAAATTATTCATAGTATTGGACGTAAGTGTGGGAGAACCATGCTTCGGCACGAATGGGTCTGCTCGACCGGGGTTATATCACGACCTCACAGAAAACTGACCTGAAATAACCATAGCGTTGTGTTTCGCCGTGTAAGGCCCAATACTTTCCCCCTCCCGATTCCTCCCCAATCCCAAAATCTCCCAAACCCTTATCCACAAAATGTCAGCAAAGCACTCGTAACTCCTTTATTGTTGGGGGTGTGCATGGGTGAATTGCTTACCATCAGGTAATCGGTATACTCGTTTGCCGTGCTATCAATAATCGAATAACAAAAAATGTAGCCTAAAATCACTTGCTTGATATTAAGATTCACTTTTTACAGTTATGACACTTACCTAAATTGTTAAATAAAACATCAGAACTCAACATAGCATTTTAAAACGAATAGGTATCATAAAATAGAGAATTCGCCAACAACTCATAAGTTCCCGTTACAAAGTGAAGAACTATCAAGTAGGACGTTCGCCTTCAGGAACAGACCACAACAATACAAGCATAAAGCGTAGTTAGTTTGCAGTTAAAAGCGGTTGTATAACTGTCGGGTCTTAACAGGGCCGTACAGGCATTTTGTTGGGCCCCAGACTACTAAATGAGAGACGAATGGGCGTTCTCAAATAAGTGAAGTTTAATTTTAGCCTAACACTAAATAATCGAGGTACAAGAAATAACCAAAATCACAATAAAACAGTATCTTTAAAAGTATGGCATCGACTGTACGGTTGGCGCGTTGGCTAAGCTACGCGCAAAGTGTCGCGGCTTTGATTCCCGCACTGAACAACACTTAGTGTGATCCACAAATTGTTGTTACGGGTCTGGGCATCATGTAAATGTTTGTAAACGCACCTACGACACAGGAGAAAAATCTAATGTAGCGCAACGTTTTTTAAAAAAGAGAGATTGTGAGAATTATCTGTTTGGATGTTTAGGGCCCGTGGCTGCTCAAAAAGCCTATAGGTAGATCCGTCTCTGGATCGTAGACGCGGATGTATCCGCAAAACAAGGCAAATCTCGTCTGACAAGACATTTGCCCTGATTTATTGCGGAGGCCAACTACTAGACGAACGTTAATCTTTATCTTATGACCACTTATGATTTACAACATTCTTTGCCAAATAATGTGCGTGTTTTGGTAGCTATTACAACAGTGGAACATAAAAAAGGGCTGTTAATTTGAAACTAAATTGGTGCAACTTTTTCATTGAGTGTGAAGTTATAAACCTGTCAGGTTGTTTGTTACTTCTTTTTGCTGCATCGTCGGTCAGCTGTGAGTGATTGACGAGTTCTAGATTTTGTTTTTCGTTCAATTGTAATAGATGTCTAATTGGTTGGATCAATTCACACTAAAAGGGTGTTAAAGTACTGTATTTTGTGGAGATACGGGATGTCGTTCTTCATCATATTTTACTCATTATAGCAAAATTAGTTACCTCTCGCGGTATGTTGATAATAATCAGCCCATGTTTAATACTTCCATGGTACAAAATTTCATCCAAACTTCTTCGCGTGAAAGAATAATAAACATACATTAATAAATTCTCACAAACATTGACATTTATAGTATTAGTAAGATAACATAATTATGGTGCATGCTGCAATGCCGAATATTTCTCAATTGAGTAAATTATCACATACCTACATGTAGTTGACATAACTTCAAGCGATGTATACGTACACTTGAATGTTAACTGTTTACAAATACATTTACACTGTCAACGTTAAGTAAGGCAAAGGACGTTGTTGCATTATCTAGCATTATGGGTAATCTGTGGCTGTGTGGGTAATCAATTACTTGATAAAATACTAGTGACCCGCCCTGGCTTCGAACCGGTCCAACTATCTTGCTAACAACAAAAGGGTAACCTTTTTCTAATTTTTTCCTAAACTTTTCTAATATGTGTTTGTTAAGTTGTTAAGCTCAACAACTCAAATGATTTACAAAAGTGATAAAAATTAATAGCTCAGTTCTTGTTGTAAGCAATATGGCCGTCATTGATAAATTAATAAAATGCTATAGGATTAATATTTTCCTTAAACCTTCGCTTATTTGAAATTGTGGTATCATAAATACTATGACAAAGGTATACTAAATCGGGACTTATCCCAAAAAATCCCTTTTGATGGTGACCCTACCCAGGATGACATGTAAATGAATAAACAATGAAACGAATTAGGATTCAATTTGATTTCTAAACCGATTCCACACCTGTTTGCTTAACCGTATCCGGAGGTTGAATTACAGTTAAATGGATATAAGTTCACGTTTCTCTTTTTACAAGTAGTTTGGCTTAAAAGAGGTTTTGTTTTAAATTTGTTTTGGCATTCTGCCTCGTTTTTTTTTTATTAGTTTTTGGCTGCAGTTTGACTGACGGTAATCGATGATGTGACCTACGATAGAGCACGCGATATGTTTAAAGTCCTACATCTTCATAATATTAGTAATATTATAATATAATTAAGAAATATTTTGTTGTTTGCTTATTTGCATTGGAAAAGCTCCGCAATCACTGGACAGATTTGGGATTATTCTT